GATTCTTGGCTTCAGTCCGCGATTCTGGGCTCCAGTCCGGGATTCTGGGCTCAAGTCCGAGATTCTTGGCTCCAGTCCGGGATTCTGCGCTCCAGTCCGGGATTCTGGGCTCCAGTCCGGGATTGTTGGCTCCAGTCTGGGATTCTGGACTCCATTCCGGGATTCTAGCTTCCAGTCCGGGATTCTTGGCTCCAGTCCGGGATTCTGGGCTCCAGTCCGGGATTCTGGACTCCAGTCCGGGATTCTTGGCTCCAGTCCGGGATTCTGGGCTCCAGTCCGGGATTCTTGGCTTCAGTCTGGGATTCTGGGCTCCAGTCCGGGATTCTTGGCTTCAGTCTGGGATTCTGGGCTCCAGTCCGGGATTCTTGGCTTCAGTCCGGGATTCTGGGCTCCAGTCCGGGATTCTGGGCACCAGTCCGGGATTCTTGGCTCCAGTCCGGGATTCTGGGCTCCAGTCCGGGATTCTGGGCTCCAGTCCGGGATTCTTGGCTCCAGTCTGGGATTCTGGGCTCCAGTCCGGGATTCTGGGCTCCAGTCTGGGATTCTTGGCTGCAGTCCGGGATTCTGGGCTCCAGTCCGGGATTCTTGGCTTCAGTCCGAGATTCTGGGCTCCAGTCCGGGATTCTGAGCTCCAGTCCGAGATTCTTGGCTCCAGACCGGGATTCTGGGCTCCAGTCCGGGATTCTGGGCTCCAGTCCGGGATTCTGGGCTCCAGTCCGGGATTCTGGGCACCAGTCCGGGATTCTTGGCTCCAGTCCGGGATTCTGGGCTCCAGTCTGGCATTCTGGGCTCCAGTCCGGGATTCTTGGCTCAACTCCGGGATTCTGGGCTCCAGTCCAGGATTCTGGGCTCTAGTCCGGGATTCTGGGCTCCAGTCCGGGATTCTGGGCGCCAGTCCGGGATTCTGGGCTCCAGTCTGGGATTCTGGGCTCCAGTCCGGGATTCTGGGCTCCAGTCCGGGATTCTGGGCTCCAGTCTGGGATTCCTGGCTCCAGTCCCGGATTGTGGGCTCCAGTCCGGGATTCTGGGCTCCAGTCCGGGATTCTTGGCTCCAGTCCGGGATTCTGTGTTCTAGTCCGGGATTCTTGGCTCCAGTCCGGGATTCTGGGCTCCAGTCCGGGATTCTTGGCTCCAGTCCGGGATTCTAGGCTCCAGTTCGGGATTCTGGGCTCCAGTCCGGGATTCTGGGCTCAGATCCGGGATTCTTGGCTCCAGTCCGGGATTCTAGGCTCCAGTCCGGGATTCTGGGCTCCAGTCCGGGATTCTGGGCTCCAGTCCGGGATTCTGGGCTCCAGTCCGGGATTCTGGGCTCCAGTCCGGGATTCTGAGCTCCAGTCCGAGATTCTGGGCTCCAGTCCGGGATTCTTGGCTCCAGTCCGGGATTCTGGGCTCCAGTCCGGGATTCTGGGCTCCAGTCCGGGATTGTTGGCTCCAGTCCGGGATTTTGGACTCCATTCCGGGATTCTGGGCTCCAGTCCGGGATTCTTGGCTCCAGTCCGGGATTCTGGGCTCCAGTCCGGGATTCTGGACTCCAGTCCGGGATTCTTGGCTCCAGTCCGGGATTCTGGGCTCCAGTCCGGGATTCTGGGCTCCAGTCCGGGATTCTTGGCTTCCAGTCCTGGATTCTGGGCTCCAGTCCGGGATTCTGGGCTCCAGTTCCGGGATTCTTGGCTTCAGTCCGGGATTCTGGGCTCCAGTCCGGGATTCTTGGCTTCAGTCCGGGATTTTGGGCTCCAGTCCGGATTCTGGGCTCCAGTCCCGGGATTCTTGGCTCCAGTCCGGGATTCTGGGCTCCAGTCCGGGATTCTGGGACTCCAGTACGCGGATTCTTGGCTCCAGTCTGGGGTTCTGGGCTCCAGTCCGGGATTCTGGGCTCCAGTCCGGGATCTTGGCTTCAGCCGGGATTCTGGGCTCTAGTCCCGGGATTCTTGGCTTCAGGTCCGCGATTCTGGGCTCCAGTCCGGGATTCTGGGCTCCAGTACCGAGATTCTTGGCTTCCAGTCCGGGATTCTGGGCTCCAGTCCGGGAATTCTGGGCTCCAGTCCGGGATTGTTGGCTCCAGTCTGGGATTCTGGACTCCATTCCGGGATTCTGGGCTCCAGTCCGGGATTCTTGGTCTCAGTCCGGGATTCTGGGCTCCCAGTCCGGGATTCTGGACTCCAGTCCGGGATTCTTGGCTCCAGTCCGGGATTCTGGGCTCCAGTCCGGGATTCTTGGCTTCAGTCTGGATTCTGGGCTCCAGTCCGGGATTTCTTGGCTTCAGTCTGGGATTGTGGGTCCATTCCGGATTCTTGGCTTCAGTCCGGGATTCTGGGCTCCAGTCCGGGATTCTGGGCACCAGTCCGGGATTCTTGGCTCCAGTCGGGATTCTGGCTCCAGTCCGGGATTCTGGACTCCAGTCCGGGATTCTTGGCTCCAGTCTGGGATTCTGGGCTCCAGTCCGGGATTCTGGGCTCCAGTCTGGGATTCTTGGCTGCAGTCCGGGATTCTGGGCTCCAGTCCGGGAATTCTTGGCTTCAGTCGAGATTCTGGGCTCCAGTCCGGGATTCTGAGCTCCAGTACCGAGATTCTTGGCTCCAGACCGGGATTCTGGGCTCCCAGTCCGGGATTCTGGGCTCCAGTCCGGGATTCTGGCTCCAGTCCCGGGATTCTGGGCTCCAGTCCGGGATTCTGGGCACCAGTCCGGGATTCTTGGCTCCAGTCCGGGATTCTGGGGCTCCAGTCTGGCCATTCTGGGCTCCAGTCCGGGATTCTTGGCTCAACTCCGGGATTCTGGGGCTCCAGTCCAGGATTCTGGGCTCTAGTCCGGGATTTGGGCTCCAGTCCGGGATTCTGGGCGCCAGTCCGGGATTCTGGGCTCCAGTCTGGGATTCTGGGCTCCAGTCCGGGATTCTGGGCTCCAGTCCGGGATTCTGGGCTCCAGTCTGGGATTCCTGGCTCCAGTCCGGGATTGTGGGCTCCAGTCCAGGATTCTGGGCTCCAGTCCGGGATTCTTAGCTCCAGTCCGGATTCTGGGCCTCCCGTCCGGGATTCTGGGCTCCAGTCCGGGATTCTTGGCTACAGTCCGGGATTCTAGGCTCCAGTTCGGGATTCTGGGCTCCAGTCCCGGGATTCTGGGCTCAGATCCGGGATTCTTGGCTCCAGTCCGGGATTCTAGGCTCCATTTCGGGATTACTGGGCTCCAGTCCTGGATTCTGGGCTCCAGTCCGGGATTCTGGGCTCCAGTCCGAGATTCTTGGCTCCAGACCGGGATTCTGGGCTCCAGTCCGGGATTCTGAGCTCCAGTCCGAGATTCTTGGCTCCACACCGGGATTCTGGGCTCCAGTCCGGGATTCTGGGCTCCAGTCCGGGATTCTGGGCTCCAGTCCGGGATTCTGGGCTCCAGTCCGGGATTCTGGGCACCAGTCCGGGATTCTTGGCTCCAGTCCGGAATTCTGGGCACCAGTCTGGCATTCTGGGCTCCAGTCCGGGATTCTTGGCTCAACTCCGGGATTCTGGGCTCCAGTCCAGGATTCTGGGCTCTAGTCCGGGATTTTGGGCTCCAGTCCGGGATTCTGGGCGCCAGTCCGGGATTCTGGGCTCCAGTCTGGGATTCTGGGCTCCAGTCCGGGATTCTGGGCTCCAGTCCGGGATTCTGGGCTCCAGTCTGGGATTCCTGGCTCCAGTCCGGGATTGTGGGCTCCAGTCCGGGATTCTGGGCTCCAGTCCGGGATTCTTTGCTCCAGTCCGGGATTCTGGGCTCCCGTCCGGGATTCTGGGCGCCAGTCCGGGATTCTTGGCTCCAGTCCGGGATTCTAGGCTCCAGTTCGGGATTCTGGGCTTCAGTCCGGGATTCTGGGCTCAGATCCGGGATTCTTGGCTCCAGTCCGGGATTCTAGGCTCCATTTCGGGATTCTGGGCTCCAGTCCGGGATTCTGGGCTCCAGTCCGGGATTCTGGGCTCCAGTCCGAGATTCTGGGCTCCAGTCCGGGATTCTGAGCTCCAGTCCGAGATTCTGGGCTCCAGTCCGGGATTCTTGGCTCCAGTCCGGGATTCTGGGCTCCAGTCCGGGATTCTGGGCTCCAGTCCGGGATTCTTGGCTCCAGTCCGGGATTCTGGGCTCCAGTGCGGGATTCTGGGCACCAGTCCGGGATTCTTGGCTCCAGTCCGGGATTCTGGGCTCCAGTCCGGGATTCTGGGCTCCAGTCCGGGATTCTTGGCTCCAGTCCGGGATTCTGGGCTCCAGTCCGGGATTCTGGGCTCCAGTCCGGGATTCTGGGCTCCAGTCCGGGATTCTGGGCTCCAGTCCGGGATTCTGGGCTCTAGTCCGGGATTCTTTGCTCCAGTCCGGGATTCTGGGCTCCAGTCCGGGATTCTTGGCTCCAGTCCGGTATTCTGGGCTCCAGTCTGGTATTTTGGGCTCCAGTCCGGGATTCTGGGCTCCAGTCCGGGATTCTGGGCTCCAGTCCGGGATTCTGGGCTCCAGTCCGGGATTCTGGGCTCCAGTCTGGGATTCTGGGCTCCAGTCCGAGATTCTGGGCTCCAGTCCGGGATTCTTGGCTCCAGTCCGGGATTCTGGGCTCCAGTCTGGGATTCTTGGCTCCAGTCCGGGATTCTGGGCCCCAGTCCGGGATTCTGGGCTCCAGTCCGGGATTCTGGGCTCCAGTCCGGGATTCTTGGCTCCAGTCCGGGATTCCGGGCTCCAGTCCGGGATTCTGGGCTCCAGTCCGGGATTCTGGGCTCCAGTCCGGGATTCTGGGCTCCAGTCCGGGATTCTGGGCTCCAGTCCGGGATTCGGCCCCAACCACAGCGATTGCACCGGGGTGCTCACGGTAGAGACCGGAGGCTCACACTGAGACCCACAAACTCAAACACTCAGCGGTCCCTCACCCACGGGCCCTGTGGGGCCTCACCCCTGGTCCTCACCCACGGGGCCCGTGGGGCCTCACACCCACGGCCCTGTGGGTGAGGGCCTCACCCGTGGCTCCTCACCCCACCGGGGTATGGCCGGGGGTCCTCACCTGCAGGAAGAGGGCGGCCCCGAGCGAGAGGCCCTGCAGGCGCTCCCCCAGCTCCGCCAGCTCCCCGTCGTGCTCCGCCAGCTCCTCGCGGAGTTCCCCCCCAGTCCCCTCCAGCGCCGAGAGACTCCCCGGGGGGCCACTGCCTCCGCCGTCTCCCCCCAGCTGCTCGCACGCGGCGGTGGCGGCGGGGGCGAGGGGGGGGGGTGGAGACACAAGGGTGGACACGAGGGGTGGACACGAGGGTGGACACGTCTCTACGTCGAACTTCTTTCGCACCGCCGCGCTGATCGGAGATGTGGGGGAAGGACAACGAACTAACACGCACAACAGGTTTAATATATAAACACCCAGGTCTGTGATTCTGTCATTCTGTGACTAACGCGGCACGGATTGGTTGAAGTGCGTCACGTGACCGGGGCCAAGCAGCCAACCAGCGCTTGGCGGGGCTATAGAGGGGCGGGTGAAAGACCGCATCGAACCGAAAACCCCCAACAAGGCCATCAAATAAAAGGGTTTTCCCCCCTTTTATTCTGGCAACAAAACTGAATCCTTTTTACAAGGGGATTCATGTTTACTGCATTAACCACAATACCTTGCAGTCAAGATGCAAACAAAAAAAATGCATTGTCCTTGAAACTGATTGGTCCACACCAAGGGACGGCTTTCTTTTGAGCCTCGACCCAATTGGTGCTCGACCAGATGACGCCAAAAGGCGTCACACAGCTCAAAGACAATGCCGCTATCAAAGTAATGAGGGCTCGGGGTGAGCATCTACATCACTAGACCTCCTTTGCCAGTACCAAAATGTAATAATAATAGGGGTTTTTCCCCCTTTTTCTGGCAACAAAACTGAAACCTTTTGACAAGGGGATTCATGTTTACTGCATTAACCACAATACCTGCAGTCAAAATGCAAACAAAACACATACTATGATAATATATACGTGGCATTGTCCTTGAAACTGATTGGTCCACACCAAAGGACGGCTTTCTTTTGAGCCTCGACCCAATTGGTGCTCGACGCCTTTTGGCGTCCTCTGGTCGAGCACCAATTGGGTCGAGGCTCAAAAGAAAGCCGTCCCTTGGTGTGGACCAATCAGTTTCAAGGACAATGCATTTTTTTTTTGCATCTTGACTGCAAGGCATTGTGGTTAATGCAGTAAACATGAATCTTCGTATAAAGGTTTCAGTTTTGTTGCCAGAAAAAAGGGGGAAAAACCCTATTATTGCATTTTGGTACTGGCAAAGGAGGTCTAGTGATGTAGAAGGCCATCTACTTAACGACGAGGGGACATTCACCAAGAAATGTCCGTTTTCAATTAAATATTCCAGATGTAAAATGATATAAGCTTTATCTAATTGAAAACAATACAATTCAAAATATGTTTCATTTTAAAACTTCAAGATGGAGCATCGGGTGCTTGCGTGAATGTGTCGTTCATGTGTGCATTTTTTTTCGTGACATTCCTGGCCAAATGTCGTAAATGGTTGTTCGGGGACGCCTATGGCCTATGGCGCCCCCGAAAAACCCGCAGTATTATTCATAATAAAGGGTTTTTTTGGGTTAGATGGCGTTATTTATAAATGTGTCGTAACCCTCCGCCACCCGACACGGCCAATCAGTAAAAAAACTGTGTCACGTTGACAAAAGACAAAATAGTTCACACTACTTTAGCCCGCAGGTGTGCTCTGGCGAATTTGCCCGATGATGCTGGATGTTAATAACCAGCGAAAAGTCGTACTCAAAACTTGTAAATGTTGTGGATTCGCTCTTCAACACACCGGTGGGCTAAAGCAGTGAACTATTTTTTTGTCTTTTGTCAACGTGACACTTTTTTTTTTACTGATTGGCCTTGTCGGGTGGTGGAGGGTTACGACACATTTATAAATAACGCGATCTCACTCAAAAACGTTTATTCTGAATAACACACAACAACAACAAGCGGTTGTGAAGAAATACGTATGCGATCTAGTGTAGTGGTGTCGTGTATAGTGTAGTGTATACTAATGTAGTGTATAGTGTAGTGTATATCGTAGTGTGTGTAGTGTATAGTGTATATCAGAGTGTATAGTCGTGTATAATGTAGTGTATAGTAGTGTATAATAATGTAGTGTATAATAATGTAGTGTATAGTGTAGTGTGTATCATAGTGTGTGTAGTGTATAGTATATATCAGAGTGTATAGTCGTGTATAATGTAGTGTATAGTAGTGTATAATAATGTAGTGTATAATAATGTAGTGTATAGCGTAGTGTGTGTAGTGTATAGTGTATATCAGTGTATAGTTCGGTTTCCCACTGACAAAGAAATGATCAGTCTATAATTTTAATGGTAAGTTTATTTGAACAGTGAGAGACAGAATAACAACAACAAAATCCAGAGAAACGCATGTCAAAAATGTTATAAATTAATTTGCATTTTAATGAGAGAAATAAGTATTTGACCCCTCTGCAAAACATGACTTAGTACTTGGTGGCAAAACCCTTGTTGGCAATCACAGAGGTCAGACGTTTCTATTAGTTGGCCACCAGGTTTGCACACATCTCAGGAAGGATTTTGTCCTACTCTTCTTTGCAGATCTTCTCCAAGTCATTAAGGTTTCGAGGCTGACGTTTGGCAACTCGAACCTTCAGCTCCCTCCACAGATTTTCTATGGGATTAAGGTTTGGAGACTGGCTAGGCCACTCCAGGACCTTAATGTGCTTCTTCTTGAGCCACTCCTTTGTTGCCTAGGCCGTGTGTTTTGGGTCATTGTCATGCTGGAATACCCATCCACGACCCGTTTTCAATGCCCTGGCTGAGGAAAGGAGGTTCTCACCCAAGATTTGACGGTACATGGCCCCGTCCATCGTCCCTTTGATGCGGTGAAGTTGTCCTGTCCCCTTAGCAGAAAAACACCCCCAAAGCATAATGTTTCCACCTCCATGTTTGACGGTGGGGATGGTGTTCTTGGGATCATAGGCAGCATTCCTCCTCCTCCAAACACGGCGAGTTGAGTTGATGCCAAAGAGCTCCATTTTGGTCTCATCTGACCACAACACTTTCACTTTCGCCCAGTCGTCCTCTGAATCATTCAGATGTTCATTGGCAAACTTCAGACGGGCATGTATATGCGCTTTCTTGAGCAGGGGGACCTTGCGGGCGCTGCAGAATTTCAGTCCTTCACGGCGTAGTGTGTTACCAATTGTTTTCTTGGTGACTATGGTCCCAGCTGCCTTGAGATCATTGACAAGATCCTCCTGTGTAGTTCTGGGCTGATTCCTCACCGTTCTCATGATCATTGCAACTCCACGAGGTGAGATCTTGCATGGAGCCCCAGGCAGAGGGAGATTGACAGTTCTTTTGTGTTTCTTCCATTTGCGAATAATCGCACCAACTTGTTGTCACCTTCTCACCAAGCTGCTTGGCAATGGTCGTGTAGCCCATTCCAGCCTTGTGTAGGTCTACAATCTTGTCCCTGACATCCTTGGAGAGCTCTTTGGTCTTGGCCATGGTGGAGAGCTTGGAATCTGATTGATTGATTGCTTCTGTGGACAGGTGTCTTTTATACAGGTAACAGGCTGAGATTAGGAGCACTCCCTTTAAGAGTGTGCTCCTAATCTCAGCTCGTTACCTGTATAAAAGACACCTGGGAGCCAGAAATCTTTCTGATTGAGAGGGGGTCAAATACTTATTTCCCTCATTAAAATGCAAATCAATTTATAACATTTTTGACATGCGTTTTTCTGGATTTTGTTGTTGTTATTCTGTCTCTCACTGTTCAAATAAAACCTACCATTAAAATTATAGACTGATCATTTCTTTGTCAGTGGGAAAACGTACAAAATCAGCAGGGGATCAAATACTTTTTTTCCCTCACTGTAGTGTATATCAGAGTGTAGAGTAGTGTATAGTGTAGTGTATAGTGTAGTGTATAGCAGTGTATAATAATGTAGTGTATAGCGTGTGTCGTGTATAGTGGTGTTGTGTATAGTGTATATCAGAGTGTATAATAGTGTAGTGTATAGTAGTGTATAGTGTATATCAGAGTGTATAGTAGTGTATAGTAATGTAGTGTATAGTGTAATGTATAGTAGTGTATAGTAGTGTATAGTATTGTATAGTGTATAGTAATGTAGTGTATAGTAGTGTATAGTGTATAGTAATGTAGTGTATAGTGTAGTGTATAGTAGTGTATAGTAGTGTATAGTGTAGTATATAGTAATGTAGTGTAGTGTATAGTGTAGTGTATAGTGTAGTGTATAGTATAGTAGTGTATAGTGTAGTGTATAGTAGTGTAGTGTATAGTAGTGTAGTGTATAGTGTAGTGTATGGTGTAGTGTATAGTAGTGTAGTGTATAGTGTAGTGTATAGTAGTGTATAGTAGTGTATAGTAATGTAGTGTATAGTGTAGTGTATAGTAGTGTATAGTAGTGTATAATAGTGTATAGTGTAGTATATAGTAGTGTATAGTAGGGTATAGTAGTGTATAGTGTAGTGTATAGTGTAGTGTATAGTAGTGTATAGTAGTGTATAGTAATGTAGTGTATAGTGTAGTGTATAGTAGTGTATAGTAGTGTATAATAGTGTATAGTGTAGTATATAGTAGTGTATAGTAGGGTATAGTAGTGTATAGTGTAGTGTATAGTGTAGGGTATAGTAGTGTAGTGTATAGTATATTGTATAGTGTAGTATATAGTAATGTAGTGTATAGTAGTGTATAGTAGTGTATAGTGTAGTGTATAGTAATGTAGTGTATAGTAATGTAGTGTATAGTGTAGTGTATAGTGTAGTGTATAGTGTAAGGTATAGTAGTGTAGTGTATAGTGTAGTGTATAGTAGTGTATAATAATGGAGTGTATGGCCGCGCCGTACGTAGCCAATCGTTGCTAATCGGAGGTGCAGGGGAAGGACAACAAACTAAACACACAACAACAACAAACAGTTCTAAACAAATTCGTTTTAGATAGTACTGTATAGTGGTGTAGTGTATAGTGGTGTAGTGTATAGTGGTGTGTATAATAGTGTAGTTTATAGTTGTGTACTGTATAATAGTGTAGTGTATAGTGGTGTAGTGTTTAATAGTGGTGTGTATAATAGTGTAGTGTATAGTAGTGTAGTGTATAGTAGTATAGTGGTGTAGTGTATAGTGTAGTGTATAGTAGTGTATAGTGTAGTGTATAGTAGTGT